CAAACTGGTTAGGGCTAAAATATATATATTTTTTTAATTAAATATGGAACTACCATTTGACCCAGCAATCCCACTCCTAGGAATATATCCTAAGAAACCTGAAACATTTAAACAATAAAGAATTTAAATAATAATAATAAAAGAAACCTGAAACACCAGTTAGAAAGGATGTTCATAGCAGCACAATTTAGAATAGCTAAGCTCTGGAAACAGCCCAAGTGCCCATCAGTAGTCATGTGGATAAAAAAGCTGTGGTATATCTACACAATGGAATACTATGCAGCAGTAAAAAACAAGAATCTCTTACCTTTTGAGACAGCATGGAGGGACCTGGAGAGCATGCTAAGTGAAATAAGTCAGTCAGAGAAAGACAAGTAACAATGATCTCATTCTTATGTGGAATCTAACAAAATAAACTGATGAACAGAGTGGATCCAGATCCAGAGACATGGAAGCATGGAACAGAGTGCGGATTCTGGGAGGGAAGGCAGGGGAGGGTGGGTGAGTGGGAGGTAATCAACCAAAGACTTTGTATGCATATATGCATAACCGAGGACACAGGCAATCGGGTGGTGAAGGCCTGGGGGGTGGGGGCTGGAGGGAGTCAATGGGGGGAAAGGGGGACCTATGTAATACTTTCAACAATAAGGATTAAAAAAACAACAACAATTGAATATTTAATGTGTATACTCTTCCACCCAGCAATGCTAGTTCAAGGAGTTGATCTTGAAAAACGACCTGTGCCCAAAGGTGTTTGTAATTACAAGAAATTGGTAAATTTGTTTGCAAACCTAAGATACAGATAAGGTTCGTTTTATTGCGATTCGCTTTATTGCCTCCCACAGGTGTGGCAAACCCTCTACCTGCAAAAACATCACTCTTTACTGCCTTTCCGGCTTCATTGCCGCGGTATGGAAGGAACCGCAATTATCCCCGAGGTATGCCTGTGTTACTCCATCTTTTTAAAAGGTATTCATAAACAACAACAACAACAAAAACATATACGTGGCATAAAATTAAATATACTTTATTAAGTACAGTGCAGAAATGTTAACGGTATGAACCCAGTTTTGTTTTTCTAAACGTGTATTTATAGAAAAAGTAGCTTAGAAAGTTGTATACAGAAACGATTGTGACACGAGCTTGGTGTGTGCGTGGAGGGGTGTTAAAGAGAAGTTGGTGGGAGCTGAGGTCGTTTTGTTGTCATAACTGCACGCCTTCACATCGTCTGACTTTTAGGACCACATCGCTTCTACGACAGCAAAAATCAAGTGCACACTTAAAGCAAATGTTTTCCTCAGGCTCCAGGGCGTCTTTCCCTCACGATGGGCTTGATTTGTTTCACTTTCACTCTCAGGGCTGGCAACTCTCTATCCCCGAAGCAGGGGGCTGAGGAGGCGATACAAAACCGGAGCGCGGGGATCCCGGGCCTGAGCCTCAGCGATGCCCGGACTTGTCCAGCGCTCAGACTCCGCAGCTACTAAAAGGCTGTCAATCCCGCCAGACGACGTTCCGCCCGCCCCCTAAGGCGCAGCGTTCCTATCCCTCTCTCCCTCCCGCCCTCATCCTCCAATGGGTGTCCAAGAGGGGCGGGCTTAGCACGAACTAGGCAGACGATTAGCCCTGGAACCTCCCGCCCACGTGTGGGCGGGGCAGCGTGGTGACGTACGATCACGGGACGCAGAGGCGGAGAGTGCACGCTCGCAGACCCGGCGGTATTAAACGGTTGTGAGCGGAGCGTTCTGGTGATCGTCCTAGGTCTCAGGCTCTCGCCGCTGCGGCAGCCCGCTCTCTCTGTCAAGCCTAGGCCGGCTGCTCCTCTTCCTTCACTTCGCCTCTAGCCGCGTCCTTGCGACTCCGCCACCATGTTCGAAGCGCGCCTGGTCCAGGGCTCCATCCTGAAAAAGGTGCTGGAGGCGCTTAAGGACCTCATCAATGAGGCCTGCTGGGACGTCAGCTCGAGCAGCGTGAACCTGCAGAACATGGACTCGTCCCACGTCTCTTTGGTGCAGCTCACCCTGCGGTCTGAGGGCTTCGACACGTACCGCTGCGACCGCAACCTGGCCATGGGTGTGAACCTCACCAGGTGAGCCCGGGAGCGGTGGGGGAGCCGGGCCCCGGGCCCCTCGCTCCCATTCCCTCCCCCTCTTGGCGGGAGCTCCTCTCAGCTGGCCCTTCATTGGCTGGCGTGGGCCATCCCGCCCTCGCATTGGCCTGCTGGGCCTGGGGGCGGGACCCCGTGGAGCGCGCGCTTCCGAAAGCCCGCGCTGGCTGAGGCGGGAACTCGCTCTTTCCGCGCCCGAGTCACAAAGCGGGCGGTGGCGGGAAAGTGACGGCTTCCCCGGGCTGCTAGGAAGACACTCTTCTAGAGCCCTTTTGGTCATTAGGTGCCGGTGGCCTTGACTGAGAAACCATGGTCACGGGTGACTTTTACGCATTTTTTTAAGAGCTTTATTGTTGAAAGTATTATATATATATTTCCTTTTATACCCCCAATGTCCCCCCCGCTTCTAGCCCGCCCCCAGTCGTGGATGACTTTGACCGCTTTATCGTGTTCCCTCCTTGTCTCCTTACTTAGGGACCATAACTTATTTCTTGGTTTTTTATTACAAAGTTGTAGGGATCACCCTCTTGAACTTGAGGAGAGATTTCTCCAGGGCAGTGGCTTTCAACTTTTTGATCACTATCTAGTGTATATATATACGAGTTTAAAGTTTTAAAACCTTATGAGAAATATTGGCCTACTCTGCGTGCTGTTGCGGGATTCTAGGGCAGGGAAAATGGGGAAAGTTAAAACAAGGCCAAACTGTGGGCAGTTTACAGCCAGCTTGTAAATAACAAGCCATTCTCTTTGCCCGCCAAGGGTACTTAGAGCAAATGGTTAAAAAGCTCCTTAATGAGAGAATGCAGGGATGGGGAGGGCAGTTTTATTACCCAAGCAGAGAAGCCAGCTGCAAGGTGCTTCTCGTGAATTCTGAGGAGGCCACAACAAGGTGAAGGGGATCCTGGAGAATTCCTCTCTGCCCAAATAGTCAGCAGAGGAGTTTGAAACCTGTAGACAGGAGGGTAAAGACCTCTACCTGGTTGGCTCCTCAGATGAGTGGAGAGCCCGTCTGCGCTTCATCAGCCGGAGGTATTGGCCTGCTTTGCTTTTTCAATAAAGGTGCACGCGTTAATAAATTGGCTTTTCACAGCACAGTCAAGGTCTCTCATAGAAATTCATTTATATGAAAAGTCAAGAAGCGAGGTTGGGAACAGCCCCCTCCCACTGACTGAGGGGCTGCCATGTCTTTTAATAGCAGCATATTGTTTTTCATAGTCGTCGTGGTCCAATAATTTACTCCGCCACTAAAAGGATCTGCAACTCAGAATATACTGCTTTTTTGTTTATATTCAGAAGTGGAGATTACTGGTGGCAGGCTGTGAGCTTTCTCGCATTTAACTGCCAGATTGCATTCCGAAGTGGCTGGATGGGTTTACAGGTCACGCTGGAGTACATTTACCTAACTTGCCAATTCCTCAGCCCCGTGGCTAAAAATGGTAACTCCTTGTTAGATGGCTTAACCTCTAACAATCAACATGGTGTGGATTGTTAGGCTCTTGGCGGGTGATGTGGGCTGTGAAAGAGTTCACAACTAAAAGAAGAGATAGATATGTATAGAGAGTTTATTTTACTTTTCCAGAAGGGAAAGGGCGGGTGTATTGCTAATCAATACAAGAGCAAGAAATAAACAATATATTTTAAAAATAAATAAATAAATAAAGGGTAATGGCTGCTGATGCTAGGTGACAAGAAAGGGAGGGGGTTTGGAGGTTGAAATTGAGCAGTCTTAAGGGGCTTGTAGTTTGTTAGTTATTTAGGAGATAATCCAGACAGATGTCTTAGGTGTCTTACCAGTCTTTTTTTTAAAATATATCTTATTGATTTTTTACAGAGAGGAAGGGAGAGGGATAGAGAGTTAGAAACATCGATGAGAGAGAAGCATCGATCAGCTGCCTCCTGCACACACCCCACTAGGGATGTGCCCTTGACCGGAATCGAACCTGGTACCCTTCAGTCCGCAGGCTACTGCTCTATCCACTGAGCCAAACCGGTTAGGGCATCTTACCAGTATTTTTTCAAAGCCTGCAAACCATTCTTAGAGCAAGAGTTATGAAGAGTTCAAAAGTGGCTTGTTTGAAGAGTGGGGGAGGACTCTTTATTAACTATACTTGAGTCGTAAAAACAACAAGGAGGAGGGTTATACAAAAATGTAGGCTTGAAAGTAACTTGTAATTTGAACAGAGGGACTGTTTGAATCAGAGGAGCTAACAATCTTGAATTTGAATTTAATCTTGGATTTGAATTTCTCATAAATTACTTGTCTCCTTACTTGGGGGACAATAGCTTATTTCTGGTCTTTTCTACTCAAAAAAAGAGGCCTTTTCTTGTTCTTATATATACATCAGTTTTAAATCCCGTGTCTTCTCTGTTCTAGCATGTCCAAGATACTAAAATGTGCTGGCAACGAAGACATCATTACCCTAAGGGCTGAAGATAATGCGGACACCTTGGCACTAGTATTTGAAGCTCCAAGTAGGTTATACTCTTTTACTGAGTTATCCTGGAGAAAATTAAGATGCAGCATCAGTATTTTTAAAGCTGTGAGAAATCTAAAATAATGTGTTTTGAGGCTTATAAGATTTACTTCATCATAGTTAGAAGCTTACATGCTTTTCTTCAACAATGTTTGCTTTCTTTTGGTAGACCAAGAAAAGGTTTCAGACTATGAAATGAAGTTAATGGATTTGGATGTTGAACAACTTGGAATTCCAGTGAGTATCAGTTTCTGATTGAGTGTACTGTACATGATAGCTACCTAAGATATGTTAGTGTAATTTAAAGCCTACTTCCTAACAACTATATCTGCTGGTGCATGTTCCAAAGTGGAGTTACAGTACTCTTAAAAAATGGATCATTGGTTGACTTCATTGTTGCTGAATGCGTATGAAGGTTAGATTTTAGAACCAGGGGGGCAAAAATTTATTAGATTAAGTTCATCAACATTAAAGGAGAGAAGTAGTGTTGGAATATCTAAAATTCTTTTGTCTGGAAAGCAGTAGTCACACTTGCACCATCTTTGTTCTTATGCCATAGTCTAATGCCTCTTTTTTAAAAAAATGTATTTTTATTGATTTCAGAGAGGAGGGGGGAAGAAAGAGAAATAGAAAAATATGCCCCACACGGGGGATTGAGCCCACAACCCAGGCATGTGCCCTGACCTGGAATGGAACCATGACCTCCTGGTTCATAGGTCTACGTTCAGCCACTGAGCCATGCAGGTCACGCTCAAATGTCTTCTTGATTTAGCCCTGAAGGGTGATTTGGGGAAGCACTACTTCTCTGGACTTTACTGTTAAAAGGTTTAAGCTCTACTTTGTTTTCTTAGTATAATTATTCTTACAACGTACTTGTTTCAGACCTGCATTTCTTTTTTGAGTGGTTAGAGTGCTTTAAGTCACACAATGTTTCAGAGTAATTCTGAGCTCTTGTTTGGATGCTGATTAGATGGTACCTACCAAATCTTTAATTCCCAGTAATTGATCTTTAAGGGTTTTTTGTTGTTGTTTCATTTTGTTTTGTTTTATAGGAACAGGAGTATAGCTGTGTAGTAAAGATGCCTTCTGGTGAATTTGCGCGTATATGCCGAGACCTCAGTCATATTGGAGATGCTGTTGTAATTTCCTGTGCAAAAGATGGAGTGAAATTCTCTGCCAGTGGGGAACTTGGAAATGGAAATATTAAGTTGTCACAAACAAGTAATGTCGATAAAGAAGAGGAAGCTGTAAGTAGTTTTAAAGTAAACATAACAAAAATACTTTGAAGAGAATTAGAACACTGCTTAATATTGGCTTAGTCTGTTTGGGCTGCTATAACCAAATATAAACCTGATTGCTTATAAGCATTGGAATTTTATTTCCCACAGTTTTGGGGGCTGGCCCTTTTGGTGTCTGGTGAGGACCTGCTTCTTGATTCCTAGACCACAGCCTTCTCACCTGGTGGAAGGGGCAAGGGAGCTTTCTAGGGTCTTTTCTTTTTACTGTTTCAGAGAGGTAGAAACATCAATAATGAGACTCATTTGATTGGCTGTCTCCTGTACACCTTCTACTGGGGATCTAGCCTGTAACCCCGGGAAAGTGTGCCCTGACTGGGAATCGAACCATGACCTCCTGTTTCATAGGTCGGTGCTCAACCACTGAACCACACCAGCTGGGCTGGTGTCTCTTATAAGGACATAATCCTATTCATGAAGGCCTGACCTCAAATAGCATAACATTGGGGATTCAGTTTTAACATTAAAGGGGGAGGAGGGACATGACAAACATTGGCTCTGTGGCAAGGTAAATACTAAAAATTAAAGAAAACTCTAAAGAAAAATAGACAAAATTGCATTTTTACAATTTGTAAAAAGTGGAAGAGACTGTTGAAATCTGCAAGTGACTTATAAGTGCCATCTAATTTATAATCTGTAAGCAGGGAATGCAAATTGAGTGTTTGCTTTATAAATCACTGAACAATGTGTTGGTGTATCAAACCCACGCGTACTCTTAAGAATAGGAGTGAGAAGCTAGGTGTCTAACCTTTAGGTTTCTGGAGGTGTTTACTCTGCTTTTATCAAGTAATTCAGCACAGGACACCTCAACAGCAGGATCTAATTAGCGGTAAAAACCTAGCTGTTGCATTTTTACAATTTGTAAAAAGTGGAAGATACTGTTGAAATCTGCAAGTGACTTATAAGTGCCATCTGATTTATAATTTGTAAGCAGGGAATGCAAATTCAGTGTTTGCTTTATAAATCCCTGAACAATGTTGGTGTCTCGAACCCACACATACTCTTAAGAATAGGAGTGAGAAGCTAGGTGTCTAACCTTTAGGTTTCTGGAGGTGTTTACTCTGCTTTTATCAGTAATTCAGCACAGGACAGCTCAACAGCAGGATCTAATTAGGGGTAAAAACCTAGCTGTTGGGCGCTCCTGTGTAATCCACACTTAACCAGGAAATGTCCTTAAAATAAGGCTTTCTTGTAATCAAGTGTTTGGGTTTTTTGTGTGTTTTTTTTTTTTTATTCTTAAGAGTGTTATAAACTAAAATTTGCTAATTGTACTAAAATAAAACTTGCTAGCCTGTGAACATCAGTTAATTCGTAAATCAAGAACAATTACAGGGCCTAATCTCAAGATTATTAGGATTAAATGTAACATTCAAAGTGCTTAACACAGTATCTGGCATATTGTAAGTTTATAGTAAAGATTAGGTATTTTCTTATCCCTTGCTTGAGTAGTCAGCCCACAGATTAAATGAAGGTAAACTCCAGTCTTTATTTTTAATATTGAATGCCCAACAATAAAGCTGACAATCCATAAGAAAATAAAAGGATTGTTTTTTTACTAATTTATTTCAGATTTATTCTTTTATTTTTCTTTTTAATTGATTTTTAAAGGGAGGGGGCGCATTGATTTGTTGTTTCATTTATGTGTGCGTTCCTTGGTTGACTTTTATATGTGCCCTCACCAGGGATTAAACCTGCAACCTTAGGACAGTTCTCAAACCAACTGAGCTGCCTAGCCAGGGCTCACATTTATCCTTAAATCTGTATAAAAACACTCCCACACTAAATGAACATATTATGTATACAACCTAGATAAGCTTATAACATAATTTCAATGCACATCATGGTAATACACCTTCACATATTAAGTCTATTAAATAGCAAAACTGTAGGGACTAATTGCAACTTTGCTCTGTCTCCTAAGTTACATTTCACTCCCCTTCCAACTTGGATTTTTAAAATTTTCTAACATTAGTTCATCCGTAAACATTTTAATATTACTTGGAGTATAAACATTAAACTTTACCACATACTATAAGAAAATTATTCAATATTAAGGAAATTTTGTGTTTCTATTTCCTTGGTCATGTTAGAACTGCTTGAATAAAAATTTTAAGAAGGTACATACATTGCATTGCAGTTGTTTTCAATCCATTGGTTTTCTGATTTGTTTTTGCCTCTCCATTACAATTTCACTTGTTAAAGAAACTAGGTCATTTGTCATTGAGCTTCACAGAGTCTGGATTTTGCCAGTTTCATTCTTTATGTCAATATGTTCCTCTACCTTGTATTTCCTATAAATTAGTAGCTACAGCTCTTGAGGCTTGATATTCACAGTTTGTTTTAGGGGTGGGAGAGCAAAGAATACTTAATAGATGGTGATACGTACTTTTGGTAGGAGTCATGAGATATCTGAATACCTTTGTGATTTTTAGCACCTATAAATAGTCATTGTCTAGATTCATTAACCGTTTGACTGCTAAGGAGCGCTATCGCGCTCTTATTTAAAACAAATTTATGTAAACAATTGGTATTTTTTAATTTTTGTTGTTGCAAAGCAATACAAGTGAGTTTATTGTATAAAAAGTGTTTTACATTTTTTCCCATACACGCGCAATTACTGCCGCAGTTTTGGCATATGTCCGAAAAAATACGTCAGCAGCCAAACGGTTAAGTCATGCTTTGCAGAGTTGTAATATATTAATACATTTCATTCCTTTATTTATTAGCTGGTTTATTTTGTAGAGATACTTCCATAATGCTCTTATCACCTAATTGGTTACCTGAGATTTGGTTCATATACAGAAAGACAAGCTAATACTTGGTTGTTTTGCTTTATTAACCTGTTTTCTAAATTAGTTTCATAGTACTCTCCGATGTAAACAATAAAAGTTTTTTTTATGTATATTATAAATGACTAGGTTGTAACTTTCTTGACCTTTTTTTCAGTATGATGAATCATTTGCTTTTTCCCCTTAGGTTGCCATAGAGATGAATGAGCCAGTCCAGCTAACTTTTGCACTGAGATATCTGAACTTCTTTACAAAAGCTACTCCACTGTCTCCTACAGTAACGCTCAGTATGTCTGCAGATGTACCCCTTGGTAAGATAATTTGTTAAATCTTGTTTTGTTTAGTTTTTTAAATATATTTTTATTGACTTCAGAGAGGAAGCGAGAGGGAGAGAGATAGAAACATCAATGATGAGAGAGAATCATTGATCGGCTGCCTCCTGCATCCCCCCTCCCCTCCCCCCCTCTGGGAATTGAGCCTGCA